GATCCGGGAGAGCTCTCTGGAGGAGATCCTGAAGCCCTCACCTGACCTAACCATCCAGAACCAGCTCCAGCAACCCTGCAGCCAGGTTATCAGCCTCCAGAACCTTTTCGATGTGGATGCCTGTGGGCGGCAGGTGAAGAACGTGGTGCTGTACGGCACCGTGGGCACGGGGAAGAGCACCCTCATCAAGAAGATGGTGGTGGACTGGTGCCATGGTCGCCTACCCCGCTTTGAGCTGGTCATCCCCTTCTCCTGCGAGGACCTGTCGCATAGTCACGCCTCCATCTCCCTGCGACGCCTCATAACCAAGAAGTACCAGCACCTCCGGGACGTGGTGCCGATGCTGGGCATTTCCAACCTCAAGGTGCTTTTCATCCTCAATGGCCTGGAGCGCCTCAACTTGGACTTCCGACTGGCTGGCACAGAGTTGTGCTGTGACCCCAATGAGCCTGTGCCTCCCTCTGCCATCGTGGTCAACCTGCTACGAAAATACCTCCTGCCAGAGGTCAGTGTCTCCCCTCCAGCTCCTTCATGCTGGAGAAAGGCTGGGGGTGAGCCCTGGGGCATTGCAGGCACGGCCACTGTGCTAATTGCTTGTAGTCCAGCTTGGCTGTGAGCGAACAGGCAGCCTCTATTCCTGGAGGGACTCACCAAGGTCGCCTCATGTCACTGTTACTGGTTTGTCTCTGTGGGATCTTTGGGGAGGCCTGGTAAAACAAAGAAGGCAGTCTGCTGGGCTGTGGTCTTCCAGACTCGATATGTGTCTAGTAGGGGATGGGGAAAGCTCTTCTGTCCCCTCTGCCTGGGCCAGATTTGAACCAACGCCCTTTGGGCAGCAGCTTCTTGAACCCTAGCTCCTGGGTGGTGTGATCCTTGTGCACCTATACGTGGGTTATGTGCTTGGGACCCTGCTGAGCTTAGATCAAAGCCACAGAGGGAGCACCTCCAAACTCACCCAGCCCTCTGCTTCCAGGCCAGCATCATCGTCACCACGCGCCCATCGGCAGTGCGCCGGATCCCCGGCAAGTATGTGGGCCGCTACGCAGAGATCTGTGGCTTCTCTGACACCAATCTGCAGAAGCTGTACTTCCAGATGCGTCTCAGCCAGCCTGGCTGCAGTGGAGAGGGCAGTACAGGTAGCAGCTCAGGCGAGCAGGAAAACTTGGTGGAGATGTTGTCGAGGAACTTGGAGCGCCACAACCAAATTGCTGCTGCCTGCTTCTTGCCCTCTTACTGCTGGCTGGTGTGCACCACTCTGCACTTCCTCTACTTCACCAGGACGGTGCCTCCCAGCCAGACCCTGACTGGCATCTACACCAGCTTCCTGAGGCTCAACTTCAGCGGGGAGGTGCTGGACAGCACTGACTCCACCAACATCTCTATGATGAAGTACGTGGCCAAGACGGTGGGCAAGCTGGCCTATGAAGGGGTGATGTCCCGCAAGACCTGCTTCACAGAGGATGACCTGCAGCAGTGCTTTGAGGTGGAGATGAAGACTGAAAGTGAACTCAACCTCCTGGACGTCTTCCGCAGCGACGTCTTCCGCTTCTTCCTCACTCCATGTGTGCAGCTAGGCAAAGAGCACACCTTTGTCTTCACCATCCCTGCTATGCAGGAGTACCTGGCAGCCCTGTATGTTGTGCTGGGTGAGAAGAAGACCCTGGCACAGAGAGTGGGGAAGGAGCTGTCAGAGGTCATTGGGAAGGTGAGTGAGGATGTCGCTGTCGTCCTGAGTATCGTCTCCAAGGTGCTGCCCTTGCGCTTCCTGCCGGTGCTCTTCAACCTGCTCAAAATCTTCCCTCGCTACTTCTCCCGGCTGAGCGGTAAGGACCGGGATGCTATTGCTCACACCATGGCAGAGGAGCTGTTCAAAGAGGAGGACTACTACAACGATGATGTTTTGGACCAGATCAATTCCAGCATCCTGGGCATGGAGGGCCCCATGCGCCACCCTGATGAGGCCCCTGATGATGAGGTCTTTGAGCTCTTCCCCATCTTCATGGGTGGGATACTGTCCCGCCGTAACCGCGCCATCCTGCAGCAGCTGGGCTGCTCCATCAAGAACCTGGCAGCCTTTGAGATTGCCAACGCCATGAAGAAGACGGTCATCAGGAACAGCCGCAAGGGGCTGCCCCCCTCCGAGCTGATGGACTACCTCTTCTTCCTGCATGAGTTCCAGAACGAGCGCTTCACAGCTGAGGCCATCCGCTCCCTCCGGACTGTCAACCTCTCATCCGTCAAGATGACCCCTCTCAAGTGCTCTGTCCTGGCATATGTCATGGGCACCACGTGCCACGAGGTGGAGGAGCTGAACCTGACCTCCTGCAACCTTGACACAAGCAGCTTGAGGATCCTCTTCCCTGTCCTGCTGCGATGCAAAGCTCTTCAGTGAGTACCACCTTCTTCTGCCCTTGGGCAGTGCTCAAAAATTGAGCTCTCCCTCACCTTTGCCCATCACAGGGATACACTAGGAGCCCGAGCATGGCAAAGGCAGGGAAGGGCATGCATGCCCTTGTTTATCCTCAGTGCAGACCTAGGGGACTACAGCTTCCAACATGCAACACTCCTTGAGCAGCCTTGCTAGGGCACTGCATGCTGGGATTTGCAGTCCCAACACACCCTCCCGTAGGACTCTTTGGGCAGCTCTCTGCAACTGGTAGCACAGGCTGGGCTGCCAGCGCCCCTGGCAGACCCGGGTCCCCCTCATTGCTTAGCCCCCCGGAGACACCCAGCTTCCCTGTGTAGCTAGCTCTGCTACTACTAACTCTGGGCAGGAGATACGCAGCCCAAGGGTGGGAGTCTGGGCTGTGCAAAAGGATGGGTTCTGTTCCAGTCCATTTGTGGAACTGCAATCTTTCTGTTGCCCAGGGGGTGGCGAGCTGTGCTCAGCAGAGATGGACTCAGCTGTGCAGCAGAGCTGTGCAGCACTTCCTTCCTCCAGATGCTTAGGAGGGCTTGGTGGGGTCCTGATCTCTCCTCAGACCTTCACCCACCCGCTGCGGACCCTGCAGCCCCTTCCCCTCCCTTGCTCCTGCTGGCACTGGCTCTGCCGGCTGATGCTACCCAAGCTCTGGAGTGGTTTCAGTGTGCTCCCTTTTGGAGAGGAAGCCTTGCGTGGCCTTGTCTGGGGAGCCCAGGTAGGATGGTGATGGGGAGGGCCAGGGAAAATGGAGAAAGCAGGGTTGCCAGCCCCACAGGTAACAGCCGTTTCAGTCCTGCCACCCCCATGTCTCATTCTGCATCAGTCTGCAGCTCAACAGCCTGGGCTCTGATGCCTGCAAGGAAATCCGCGACCTGCTCCTGCATGACAAGTGTGTGGTGAGCAACCTGCGGTGAGTACTGCCTCTGTCCTTGCATGAAACTGTCTCTGCTGCCCACCATGTGCCCTGGCCCTGGGCCCCCTGCCCAGCCTCAGCATTGCCCTGAGCTCCTTTGTCCACAGGCTGGCAAATAACCCTGTGGGCGAGCAGGGGGCACAATACCTAGCTGAGGCGCTGGCCGGCAACCGCTCGCTGACCCATTTGTCCCTGCTGCACACCACACTGGGGGACCGGGGCGCCGAAGTCATTGCTCAGCACCTGGCCAAGAACCAGCACCTCCAGGAGCTCAACCTGGGCTACAACTCCCTGACTGACACAGCTGCCCTGCACGTCGTGGAGGTGGCCAAAAAGCACGCGACGCTGGACAAAGTGCAGTGAGTTCACTTTGCCCCATCTCTTCCCTTTTGCAGGCGATGCCTCCGACCCAGTGTCCCTCCCCATAGAAGCGAGCAGGGGGTCCCTCTCTGCCTCTGCGTCCTTCCCCCAGCCCTCACAGTGTCTCCCATTCCTTTTCTCTCAACCCGCAGTCTGTACTTCAACGACATCAGCGAGGATGGCAAGCGGGAACTTGACAGCTTGCGCATGGACCGGGACGGCGTCAGAGCACTGGTCTTCCTTACAGCAGGCACTGACGTCTCTGACTACTGGTCCAACATCCTGAACGTGGTGCAGAGGAACCTGCCTTTCTGGGACCGTGAGCGGGTTCGGCAGCACCTTGTCCTCATCCTGCAGGACCTGGAGAGCAGCCGGAGACAGACTGCCAACCCCTGGAGGAAAGCCAAGTTCCTACGAGTCGAGAGTGAGGTCAAGAAGATGCTGGGGAAACTGCAGCACGAGAACCTCTAACCTGCTGTCCATCCACCCGGCCAGGGTGCTGCTGGGGAGGAAACACTGGATTGTGCCCTGGCAGCATATCCCCTGCGCCCTTATCTGCGTGGAGATGCCTAGTGGTTGGGTGCTACCAAGGCTGTCAAAGGTGCTGGGTATGTGGGGCTCAGCCCTCATCTGCGGGCAAGGCTGAAGTGTGGGAGAACTGTACAGAGACCAGGCCAGGAGCAAATGGGACTTGTTCTTCTGGGCTTGTAGAGACCCAGCCCCTGCACGAGGCAGAGCAGTGGCAGAGGGGCAGGACTCAGGCTTGCTTGTGAAACCTTTGGTAGCATTAAAGTGCACCGCTTTGTTTCCACTGAAGCACACTAGTGCCAAGACTCAATCTCTCTGGGCCCTTCCTGAGGGAAGAATGCGGAGGCGCTGGTGCAGCTGTCCCTCCAGCAGTTGGAGTGGAGAGCTCTGGCCTTTACCCATCTCACAGGGCTTGGATGGGACAGCCCGCTTCTGCTCATGCTGAACCAGTTGGTCTTCCCCACCGTGGGCTGCCCTTGGGGGCAGCTGGAAGCTGGGACACCAGGATCTGTTTCCAAGCTGGGTGTCCCAGGGTGCTGGTCCCTGCTCCCAGCTCTGCTGGGCGAGGACTGGCAGTGCCCCGCGGCTGGGAGGGCAGGGGAGACGTCGGGGCTGTTTAACGATTAAACCTGGGGCGTCTTGGAAGAGGCGGGGACACTGGCTTCCCTGCCACTTCACCCTGTACCTTGCTCCCTCTCGCATTCCCTGCAGCCATGAAGCAAACAAAAGGTATGTGCCAGGGCAATGGGGCTTCGTCCTATGGAGACCCTTCCCCACATGCACGTCTCCAGGCCCCGCTTCCTCATGGAGCAAGGCAATGTCAGAGCCCAGGCAGGCCATGGAAAGGAGCTAGAGGCATCCAGGAAAATGCAGATGGACATTGTGGGGGCGCTTGGCAGGAATCCCCTCTCCCTGGGTTTGGGGGTCCTTGTGCTGCCAGAGGTGGGGAAGGGTTTTATGGGGAGGTGGGCAGGGGAAGGCTTCTGTCTCCATCTCCTGGCTCCAGCCAGCTCTCTGGGGCCCTGGTGACCCTTCTTATCCCTCATTCAAAAGGCCTGTAAACCCCCAGGACTAACCTCCATCTGCATACTGCTGCCTGGCCCTACTTTGCCCTCAGTGCTGCAGGACCCTGCTGGGCTGGGCAGTGGGTGCCTGTTGGACCCAAGCAACAGGTGTCCTACTGTTTTGAAATGCAAGAGGACACCGGTGGCGGGGCCAAGGGCTGAGCTGTGCCCGCACGTAGGCTGTAGCCGGGGGGCAGAGGGGCCAAGGGGGCTGCATGGACTCGGCAAACCCACCTCACCTGGCATGGCATGCTCAGCCTGCGAAAGGACAAGCCCTGAGTGCTCGAGAGCGTGGGGTGTGCTCCCAGCCCCCCGCCTCCTGCACTGACCTCTCCTCTCCCTCTGCAGGGCTCGAGGGTGACAAGAACTCCATCATGTAAGTGCTGAGCTCCCCCTGGCCGGGGGCTTCCTGGGGGTCATGCTGGGGCACATCCTGATCTGAGGTGGTGTGGGTCATGGCTGCCAATCCCGGCTGCCTGCCCCAGGAAGCTGGGATTCCCTGATTTGTTAGCTTAGAAGAGATGTGGGGGACAGTCCAAGAGGGACATCCCCTCCTGGCTTTCCCCAAGGAAGAGGAGGCACTGGAGCTGTGGCCCCAGCTGGCCCTTTCTGGGAGGAACAGGGCTCCCCACGGAAGGGCTGGGGAGGGTGGGGGGAAGGCCGTGCTGCTGCATTAACGTGGCCTCTCCTGCCCTTTATTATTTCAGAAAATTTGAATTTAACCCCAAAGATGGGATCGACAACCCTGCCTTGTCTCTGGCTGAGGACATGGGTAAATACCCTCATCTCCCCAGGGCATCCCTCTGTCAGCATGGGGTTCTGGCAGCTGGACATCGCTGGGGTCTCTCATGCCGGGGAGCTGTGGGGAGGTGAACATGTAAGGCAGTGGGGATGGGGAGATCCCAGCCCGGGATGGGGTAGAGAACCCGTGTTAGGATCCCTGCAGGGCCCTGCTCACGGGCTGTGCCCCCATGCAGATGGCGAGGGCATGGGGGAGCCCCGCTTCTACCTCCTGAGCAAGGGCAGCGCAGAGACCTTCGGCTTCTGCCTCCACGAAGAGCTGGGCTGCCGGGGCCACATCATCCGGCAGGTTGAGCTGGGGGGGCTGGCCCAGCGCAGGGGGCTGCAGGATGGGGACCGGCTCCTCCAGGTCAATGGCCACTTCGTGGACCACATGGACCACCACAGGGTAAGCTGGGAGCACCCTGGGGCTGTGGGAACGCCCAGGTCCTCCCCGGCCAGGGGCACAGAGGGTGTGGGACCCCACTATCCCTCGGGGCCCTGATCCCACAGGCTGTGGCTGGAGGGGCACCCTGTCCAGGGTCCACAGCCCGGGTCCTTCCAGGTGGTGCAGAAGATCAAGGCCAGTGGGAATCAGGTCCTGCTGGCAGTGCTGGACGGCGACTCCTACGAAGCAGCCAAAGCCCTGGGCAGGGACCTGTCCCAGATGCTGCCGGCTGACATCCGCCCACGCCTCTGCCACATCGTGCGGGACAAAAGCGGTTTTGGCTTCAGTGTATCGGGTCCAGAAGGTAAAGCAGGCAGTGGGATGCCGGCGCTGCGAGCCTCCCCAACGCAGCCCCCCAGACTGCCTCTCCTCCTCCCTGCAGGCGTGAAGGGCACCTTCCAGCTGTCGGTGCGGCAGGACGGGCCAGCGGAGAGAGCAGGGGTGCCGCCAGGCTCCTGGCTCCTGGAGCTGAACGGGGCCAGCGTGAGGAGCTACTCGCACACGCAGCTCGCCCGAAAGGTGCGTGCTTGTGGCACAGGTGGGGGACTGGGGCCAGCAACATCGCTGAGCGCCCTGCATTTCCCATCCAGCTTAAGCAGAGCGGTAGCAAAGTGACACTACTGGTGGCTTCCAGTGCCGTGGAGGAGTTTTACCGCCTGCGGGGCCTGCGGGTCACGGCCGCCTTGGCGGACACCTCCTGGCTCCCCTTCAAGGTCCGGGAGCTGCACATGGTGAAGGGTCCAGCTGGCTACGGGTTTCTGCTCAAAGAGGATGACTGCAGCTCAGGGGCCATAGGTGAGGGGTCTGAGGGGGGCAGTCCATACCTGATCTAGGCATGCCTGAGGGTCGGGAATAGCCGCAAGCCCTGTGCCCACAGCGGGACCCTGACCCCACCTGCACATGGGGGCCAGTGGTGCTGGTTCCCCTATGGCTGAATGTCTCCGTGAGCATCTCCCTACCTTCCCTCTGTCCCGCTGTGGCAGGCCAGGTCCTGCGGGACGTGGATGCGGGACTGCCGGCTGAGCAGGCAGGGATGAAGGAAGGGGACCGCCTCCTGGCTGTGAATGGTGAGAGCATTGAGGGGCTGGACCACCAGCAGACGGTGCTCAGGATCCGTGCCCATGATGACCAGGTGACGCTGCTGGTCATCGACCCTGCTGGCGATGAGTTCTACCAGTCGGTAGGTTTTGGGGACCCAGCGTGGTCCCACCCTGGCTGGGGAGCTCTGGGGTGCTGCGAGGCTGGATGATGGGATGGGTGTCTTGCCCCCAGGCCTGCACAGTGAGGTCCTCTCTAAGGGGACCTGGCTTGCCGTGGAGCGCCAGGAGCTGTTTGGCTATCCCTCTTCTGCTCTTCCAGATTGGGTTGTCCCCTCTGCTGTTCTTTGAGGACAGTCACCCTGCCTCAGGCTCCTGCACGCCCTCCCTGCCCTCTCCCAGTGGCTCCCCTGGACTCTGTCATGTTGAGGTGGAACCAAAGGGACCTGGCTCCTGGCTGGTGGCTGCTGCCAACAGTATAGAGATCACACAGGTAACCCCTCTTGCTAGGCCCTCGCGGCAGCGCTGCTCACAGCCCGGCACTGCTCTGAGTACTGGCACCCTCCTGCCCTGCCTGTCCTAATATTTCCCTGGTACCTGTGATGCTGGCAGGAGGGGGCTGCATGGTCCCCTGGCCACAGGGGCCAAGCAGAAATATCCCTCCAACCTGCCCATGGGGCAAGGGTGGAGTGTGGTGGGGTGGGTGGATGTGTGCTGCCCACAATGCCCCCACTGTGTCCCCACAGAGCCCACGCCAGGAGGAGCAGAGGAGGCTGCACCAGGCGTTCTAGTGGCCCAGGTGCACCCTGCCTCCAGCCAGGCTCCCCCCACAGCGCCTCGACCTAGGCCACATCCAGCCCATCGGTGCCCCCCGGCCCGGCTCCCCGGAGAGCACAGCGCTGCTCAGCATGGCCATTGCACGCACAGCTGCTGTGTCTCCATGCCCGTGATGGGGCTCGCAGCATCACACCTCCCAGAGACTCATCTCCACTGACCGAGGCTGGCTCCAAGCTTTAATTAACCACAGCGGTGCCTTCTTGCAGCCTGAAGACAGACGTGTGTCTTTGCCTGCCCAGCTGCCTCCAGGGGTATCTAGGGACATTGCATTGAAGCCCTTGCCAAGCTCCAGGCTCTGGGAGCTCCCAGGAGAGCCGAGGCACTGCCCTCCATGCCATGACCCAGAGGACTGGGGAGCCTGAGGCTTGGCTCAGCCCAGGGCTGGCCTTCGGGCCTCTGTGAAGGTGAAAGGGAGCAGGAGAGGCCGATGGGGCGCTGGAGGAACCCCCCACCTCTTAGCCTGTTGGCTCAGGTCTGCACCTGCATGGACATCTCTCTTGTGCTCCTCCTCTCATCCTTCCTGTGAACCTGTGGGCAGTGAGTGTCCACTCCCCATCACAGCACTGTTCCTGTGTCACCCATTTGGGGTGTGATTAAAGGACAAATCCACACTGCTGTTCATGTGGGTAATGTTATGGAGAAGATTGTGACTCAGCAGTGCATCCCAGGGCCAGACAGGACCCACCTTCTCTTGCCTAGCCTGGGGCAACTGGGGTGTTGGGCAGCGGATGTTGGGCACTTGGGAAGCTCTCCAAGTGTGCTGATAGGGAGGTAGGGGCTGAGAGCCTGTCCTGTCCCAGGGATCCCCAGCGTGCTATATCTCCAGGGGGTTGAGGCCGAACTCCTGTAGGCTCTCCTTGTGCTCCATGGCAATGGTCGTTCCTACCTCTTTCCAGCACTGGCTGGCCTCTGCCATCTTGGCCAGCACAAGGTCCAGGCTACCCTGGTGGGAAAGAGGATGGTGAGGAGGGGGGACTGCACTGCCAGGGGGAGCCACCCACAGCCATGACCCCACTCACGTGGAGGATCTTCTCATACTCCCTCTCCATGTCATCGAGCCTGCCCTGCAGCTGGGCGATGGTCCTGTTCCTCTCTGCTAGTGCCTGGGTGGCAGCCTCCTGGGTCTGCTGGCTCTCCTGGAGCCTAGTGGCTGTGGGGTGCGGGGACAGAGGCAGAGGACACTGAGTATGTGGGCACAGGAGCCTGGCACTGCGTGACCAGTACACGGGAGAGTACAGGCAGTGTGTGGCACAGCCCCTGCCCAATCCCCCTCATCTCCAGAGTGGCAGAGAGCTCTGGGACAGGGGTGTGGGATCACAGCATCCCCTTTGCAGTCAGCATCTCCCAAGGTCGGTGATGCACTGGGTCAGGCTTTGCCTTCAGCTACTGCCATGCTCACAACACAGCATGAATGACTCTCGCTCCCTCCAAGTGCACTTTGCTGCCCTGGAGCGAACCCCATCCCCACCCACTGGCGAGGGGCAGGCGTGCCGGGGGGCCATACCGAGCTGCTCCTGCAGGCTCTTCACCTTCGCCTCCAAGCGCTGGCTGTGGGCTGCTGTCTGCTTCTGCAGCTCCTGGTATTGCCGGGTCATTTCTGGGAACCAGGGAGGGGAGAAGGGAACAAATGTGGTGACTATAGGAAGGACAAGCAGGCAGTCCTTGTGCTCGGATGCCAGCACCTGTGACCAGGCAGGGGCTCCAGCAAGGCCTGACCTGAGGGCTCCCCTTGCAGGGTGACGCATCAGAAGCAGCCATGCGTGCAGTCTCTCCCTGCCTGGCAGGGCTGCGACGATGCTGGGGGCGGGGAGGGCAGGAGGGAGCCCCGGAGGGAAAGTTTTACCTCTCTGTTGAGCGTGGGAGAGTGAAAATGAGCACGGAATTTTGCATGTGGCAAAGACCACAAACCTCTGGCTTGAGGTTTTACCTCTGCTAAAATCAGCCCCTTCTTGAGCACTAACAGAAATGGCGAGGCAATGACTTTTGCAGGCAAGAAAGTCTCTGCCCCTGTGGTCTCCTCTCTCTGTGCTGAGTACAGGCATCTGGGCTGCAACGAGTCCATGCCCAGAGCTGTTGCATGCTGACAGCAGAGGAGGGAGCAGGGCTAGCCCAACAGCAGGGTGGTTTGGGGCTGAGTGGTCAAGGCCAAAGGGAGATGTGGGGTAAGCTTGGCTGGCTTCCCCCAGCAGCACCAAGGTGTGGGGTCCCTGCATCTCTCCCACTGCCCCCTCCCACCTCTACCCTCACCTTCACGAATGTCTCGCTTGTCTTCCCGTGCCTGCTCCAGCGCCTTCTCCAGGTCCCACGGCCTCCGCTTGAGCACTTCATTGTCAGCTTTTGTCTGCCAGGTCATGTCCCTCCAGGGAACTGCGAGCCAGAGGTGCATAGGACTGCCGTGGGGACAACGCGCTTCCTGACAAGGTGACTCACACCATGACCCTGACCTGAGCGCGGGCGGTCAAAGGGCACCATCCAAACCATACTGGGTGGCTATTCCCTGCCCAGTACCTCCTCGGTACCGTGACCCAGCAGTGACTTATTTCTAGCCTTTCTCTGCTCCCAAAGCCAGGGTGATGTGGACACCTCCCCAGCCCACGCCTGGCCCCAAGCCCTGCCTGAACCAGAGGGAATCTCATTATAGCAGAAATAGTGTGGCCAGCAGGAGTAGGGAAGCGATCGTCCCCCTGTACTCGGCACTGGTGAGGCCACACCTCAAATACTGTGTTCAGTTTTGGGCCCCTCACTGTAAGAAAGACATTGAGGTGATGGAGCGTGTCCAGAGAAGGGCAATGAAGCTGGTGAAGGGTCTAGAGCACAAGTCTTATGAGAAGTGGCTGAGGGAACTGGGGTTGCTTAGCCTGGAGAAAAGGAGGCTGAGGGGAGACTTTATCATTCTCTACAACTACCTGAAAGGAGGTTGTAGCGAGGTGGGGGTCGGTCTCTTCTCCCAAGTAACAAGCGATAGGACGAGAGGAATCGGCCTCAAGTTGCACCAGGGGAGGCTTAGACTGGATATTAGGGAAAATTTCTTCACCGAAAGGGTTGTCAAGCATTGGACCAGGCTGCCCAGGGAAGTGGTGGAGTCACCATCCCTGGAGGTATTTAAAAGATGTGCAGACGTGGTGCTTAGGGACACGGTTTAGTGGTGGACTTGGCAGTGCTAGGTTAATGGTTGGACTGGATGATCTTAAAGGTCTTTTCCAACCTAAATGATTCTATGATTCTGTGATTCATAGCATGAAACCTCCCCTTTGTTTCAGCCCAGCGCCATGCTGGGAAAGCATTTTCAGGGGAGTGCCTCACTGCAGCATCCCTACCACCTCCTATCTGCTATCCCCATTGCTCCTCTTTTTCTCTGCCATCTCTGCAGCATTGCTGGCCTCTGTAAGCAGCTGCTGCGCTGCACACCAGGGACTCTTGGGACAGCACAGGCAGCCCCTGCGGCTGGAGCCCACATGGCAAGGGAGGGCGTGTGCCATCCTCTGGCGTGACTTGCCGCCAGGAAGGGCTAGTCCATAGGAAGTACACGCAGGAGAGCAGGCATCCCTTGCTTGCCCCAGCCCCTGCCTCCTCCCGACCTTACCCAGGTGCTCTTTTGGCATGTCAACCTCCAGTGCTGCTTTCCTGTACATCTCTTCAGCTTGGCTTTCTGCAGCCAGAGGAAAGAAGGAAGGGACAGAGTCAAGAGCAGCTTTTCAAAGGGGCTTAGCCCAGGGACACCAAGGGCTGTCAGATGGCCCAGGGGAAGCCTGCCTTGGGATGTTCGCCCCAGGAAATCTTGGCTGGGACACACCTCTGGCTCAAACACCGGCACCAGGGCAGTATTTGTGCAAACACCTGTGAGACACAGAGTCAAGGTGTAGCTGGTTTTACTTGAAGCGGCTGCCCCGGAGAGGTGCACTCTCATTTGCAACTGAGGGCTGGGATTTTGCAGTGAAGATGAGGCAGTAGCCATGGTGCATAGAGGCTTGGGGACCCCTTC